AGTGTCAAATTCAGTAAGCTATTATGGTGCAACATGTCAAAATTGTCCAATAGCAGTTATCTTGCCCAAGATAAAAATTAACATGTCTGGAAGAATTTCCGTAGTAAATTTTTTCCTGGGGTTTATGACACAGCTATAAAAAAAATTAATTGAACTGAAAATGTGCGCGAGTTCAAAGAATTCTGTGGATTCTCTTAAAAAAAAAAGTTAAAGCAGCAGTCAATATTTTTCTTACAGCACTTTCTGCCACATACATCTGCATTAAACTTCTTGTCCATACTATACATTGCCAGCATGCATTATTGCAGACAACACCACTCTGAGCACCCAGGAAACATTTTAGACTTCAAGGCACTTTCATGCACCCCTGCACACAGCACCTGCAAGGTGCAGTACATGAGGCCGCTCGCTGATAAGGAGAACTCACCGAATGGGATGCACTGGAGGAGCCAGGTGCACAGAAAGGCTGGCTCACCCCTTACAGTTATCTCACTATTGTTCCAATGCCACGTATATAGCACCTTAAACCCAAGGCTGCCCAAATATACTCTTAGACCCATGAAACATCTGATACCACACCAGATACTTGGGATGGAATCAGAAGGACTGACTAGGTAGTATACCAGCAAGGAGAAAGACTGAAAGACTGCAGGAGAGGCATGTCAGGCAGACAGCAGATCCAGCTGCTGGCTGGATCAATACTGTCCACCCCTCCATTACGGACCAAATGTTCCTATCACACTGCAACAGCCCTGTTCTCTGCCTGAGAAAGCTCCAATGCCTGTCAGATCCCACACTGAGCAAGTAAAGCTACAGCTTCAGATTGTGGCAGTAGAGCATTTGTGCACTTTTTTACTATCATCCAGTATGAATTAATAGCCATAAAACTTCTGTTGTAACAACTAGCTGTTGTCTGTGAAGCACTGCAATTTCAAGATATGCCAATCAACACATAATAACTCTCCCTTCCTCATCTTCTATACACACAGCTGTCAGGGTTTTCATTTCCTTCAAGAAGGAATTATCAAGCTGTATGACTCGTTCTGTGCATATATATACATCTAATTATAACAACATTTTAGCCTGACCTCCCTCTTAGAAATTCAGATAAACCTGCTTAACAGAGTACAACAAATAATTTAAGATCCGCAAAAAGGTATTAAGTGGCTTTTATATACTAGACTGTATGTATGTTATCTGCCTCAGTGTAATAGCACAGGCCTATAGAACCTGCAAAGCACAAATAAATTTGTTTGCCTCCTATCTAAAATGGGTGCTTGCTGATGCATCCATTCCATGGTAAATGTGTATGGGATAAGATTGTACGCTACTGCTATTAATCCATGGCTGCTCCACACTAACTGGCTCACAGCTTCATGTCCCCCTGGAGCGTATGCTGTCTGCTAACCTCCTGGCAGTGGCTCAGATCTGGTTTCTGAATGCTCAGCAGCATCTCATGCTAACTGACACCAGAGCCTGTACTAGTATGCAAGTTTCTCCAAGTCTGAGGATGCTGTGTGCCAGCAAATTAAGAAATGGAAGCAAATAGAGAGTTGTCAGATTAGGAAGGTGGCCGGAAAAGAGACAGGCTTGAAGGAGAGTCTGAAATTAGGCTGGAGAGGCATGCAAGTACAGCAGGAAGCCCTGCAGATTCTTGTAGCTACAGAAACAAACCACTAGCTACAAATTAGAGCTGAATACTGAGAAAGGAATACCCAGTTCCTGGTTTTACAGAAAATGAGCACAGCAAATCTGTGCCTATCAGCTCAAAGTTAGTGGCACCAACTCATCTGAGTGGTACACCCATTAAAGCTACTTCACTTACCTGAAATGTTTCTTAACTATGTGCTTGCAAGGATAGAGGTCCCTGCCAGCCTAAGCCATTCTATGACTCTAAGGATAGATACTGAACTACTTCAGAAGAGGCATATGCCATAGCTTCTGGCTTACATTGAACTTTGAAAACAATATTGGATTTTCAAAACTGATAAGACCGCGGATTCAGAACAAGGCCAAAGTCCTAGCGCAGTCTATAATTAAACAATTCCATTCTTATTTTGAAAAAAACAAACCAAAATAAACAGAAACTGCTTCTTGCCCAACAGTTTTAAAAACAAAAGCCACTTGAGAGAGGACAATTAAAACAATGTAAAATGCTGCCAAAAGGGAAAAACCCAAGGCCTACATACGATCAACACCTTCCTCAAGCAAAAAACCTACTCTGCATGACCCACTGTTTTTAGCCTCCCGTGTGTTCAAACATGCAAGAAAAGAAATCTGTAACACTTCAGACTCTGCCTTCCAATAACAAAGTGCTGTATATTACTAATGTAGCCCTTTAACAGGCTTATAAAATCCTCAAGGCTCCTCTAACACCATTTGTGGTTATTGCCCTGCCTGTTAATAGCACAGGAGGCTATTAAGCACAAGTTGTCTAAATCCATTCACCGAACATTTCCCACAAGTTCTCAACTTCTTCTGTCATGGAAACATATACATATAAATAAACATGATTTCCCATCGCGCCCTCAGACATAAGCTCCAAGTGATGCTGTATCCCTTCTACTTAGGCATATCATTAACTGTACTCTCAAAACACAAGAAGGGGTAATTAAGCTCCTTACAGAACAGGTCCAGCATAGGCTAGTGCAAGAGAGCATTCTCCTTGCAGTGACTCGGACACCTATTGAGCAATGGGCCTCTGAATCAACAGTTTCATCTCCAAAGAAGTGAAACCCTGGCAGAAGTTCTCTAAGTGCTAGTAGCATCAGGCTAGTATCAATTATGTTGAGCACTGGAAGCTGAGAGACCACCTTTTTGGACCATAAGCTGAAAAAAGCCACGAGACAGTGGCTGATTTGTTTATCCTCCTGGGCTATATTTGAACTGGTGATTCACCATGTCCGTCTTACTAATAATTCCTTCAGCTAGCCATTTCAGCCCCCTTCTCTAACCTCCAGAAGTCTTCAGAACTCAACTATTACTCTACACACACTTCAAGATGAAAAATGCCACTACTGTTGCCAGAAAACACAACTAATTCCACCACTTGGAACATACGCAGCTCTTAACTTTTAAAAGCTCTGTAAAACCAAAGCGCAACTACTGTATTGGACAAAATTGTGTGTGGATTCCCTACAACATCAACTTATGATGGCCTTCGGTCGTGTTTTTTTCCTATTGAAGGCATTAAATGTCCACCTTGGTCCACATAAGAAAAGCAGTGATCACTACATGTACTTTTATAATGTGTCACTAAAGCTATTCTGTTTCACAACATTTTGCAGCAACCTTCTTCAGCCTAAAACTTTTCCTCTTTGGTCTCAAGATGTTTCAGGAATCTCTTCTGTTATTCTAAATTATAACTATAAAAAGTTATTCTTTGAAGTCTTTCTTAGATTTATTTGCTTGCCAAGAACTCAAAAATAGCTGAACAAAGCAAGCAGCTACAAAGTTAGCTCTCCATGAGGAAGCATCTGTGCTGGTTTCATATTCTTGGCTTTCTGGGTGGGGAGGGACATTTAAATGGCAAGCAACTGAGATGAACAGGGGAAAAAAACAAACAAACAAACAAAACCAAAAAAACACACTGAGGAAGATCTGCCAAGATTTAGTACAACAAAGCGTTAGGAAGCTCCACCTCTTCTAGGACGTGTTTAGTGAGTGGAAGGGCCTGAAACCTCCCTGTTTTAATTGATCAGAGGTCCAAAAGAAATTGGCAATAATGTTAGCAAAGCCTGCCTGAAGGACTTGATCAGCCATCTAATGCCAAATCTCAGAAACGTTTCCTCTACTAAGCACGGGGGGAGGGAAGGAAAAGATCAAATAAACTGTCCCTCTCATATCAAAGGACCCCTCACATGTGCTGTATCTTGAAATTTCTGGAAGTGTCTTTACCTTTGCTCTTACACTAGAAATACGGCCACTGTCAACTAGTGTGCATCACTCTAATAGCAGCTAGAACTAGAATTGCAGAATTGTCACCCCAGAAGGTGAAGAAATGTATATATGTGCCCACATATATGCATTTTTGCCTCAGAGCTGCATATGAAAGTTACAGAAAGTGATGGCCACACGTGTCCTGATAATTGGCATACAGCTATCCCATCTTCTCATTTTACAGTAGTTCTTGGCAAGCATACCAGGAACCTGTTTTAATTGCTAATTAATAACATACTTGTCTTTGGGGGGTGGGGTGGGAAAGGGTTAATCTTTTAATTGAGCAGTTCCTACAAAATAGAAGTAAATAAGAAACATTAACTTTACAAAACATGAGTTTCCCCTCAATCTGTATTCAAACTAAAACAGCAGGAAAAAGATTTTATTGATTTTGACTCAAAACAGGCAACGCTATTCCTAACAAGAGAATACTCCCTTCTTGTTTTTCCTGAGCAGTTTACAAGGGGATTAAACATACAACCCAGTAAGACTTGGTGGGAAGACTCACATGAACGGAAACTTCAGTTTCTCATTTGATACCTAGATCTTGGCCAGGGTATACGGGCAATGGAATAATTCCTTTTTATGGGACCCAGATTAAGCTGTAATCTTGATGTTATTCCAAATAAGAAAGTGGTAGGGACTGAATACACTAATATCACCCAGCTGAAACATCCCTGATTCACCTGTGAAACATACATACATCTGGAGTATAAATAAGGCTTAAATACAATGCAATGTCACTGAAACAAATAATATTTAGGGGCAGCTCAACGGTAATCCACATCTCTCATTTAGAATATTATCACTGAAATTTTATGTTCCTACTGTGATTTTTTTTCATCCTAATAAGCACTTCTGATGAGAAAAAACATACAAGGGCTATGAGCAAAGTACAGTTCTGAGGCCTGATTCTGCAGTCTTCCCACTGCGTAGCAAGTAGCATGTGATTAACTCACTAGTCACCATAAAAGAAACTATCACTCAAGGTAAACAGCAGTTGCAGAACCTGGCCTGAGAACTGTTTCATATTGAGTATGTATATCATGAAATAGTCTTACCTCAGTAAGTGCGTGCAGCTGTCCTTGATGCACACAGACACCCATAAACCTACAAGAAACAAGAAAAGAAAAGTGGTTTGGGCTTTTTTCCCCCCCTCTTCTTTTTTTTTTTTTTCTTTAAAGAAACTAAGATAGTAAGAAGTACTGGATATGCCAAGAAAGAAGGAAAATGAAAAAATTCAGCCTCACAGATACTGCAGACCTCAAGGTTGATTATTTAAACATCTCAGCACAAAACAAAATCATGTGTCTACACTATAATGTAATTTGAATTAGCATTTCCAAGCGAGCACAGGAGACAGCTCAAACTCAAGATGGAAAGTTACTAATTTGACTATAAGCAAAGGCCAGCATATAATGATTTACGCAGAAAGGAATAGTCTCAGAGTTCTGTTTTAAGGAAGTTTAAGCCAAGTAATCCACTGTTGGTCTGCATAAATAGCAAATTACTTCCCTTTGCATTTTGCTGCTTAAGCATAAAGATGTTTCTTCCTAACCCATTCCTAACCACTCAGGAATATGAGGGCACATACGTGCAGTGTACTTCCCCTCCCCAAGCCCCTATTTCCAACACTTGGATTGAAGCAAGTTTTGATAGTATCCAGTATACACATATTCCACAAAAAAAGTTACCTACACTGCACAGGGTTCAGACTCCTGCTGTTAATAGTAATGACTGTCACCCTTGATTTTTCTGGAAGGCGATAGAGAATGTGCCATACATTTAACATACGAGGAACAACTGAAAGCTCATTTTTACCACCATACAAGCTGAACTTAAAAGTGACAAAATGCAAATTAGTATTAACGGTAAACATCTCCCATGAGAAAGTTCTGTAAAACTTAAATTGTATGCACTTCAGAGCCCTCCCTGCACAGTTGAAGTATTGGTTCTTTTTAGACTAACTGTCAGTTTTATCATTTAGATTTTGGTCTCAACAAGCAAAAACACATTGTCTGGCATTTCCACAATGTTCAGAAATTTCCACTTTGCAAGCAAGGGGTAGAAATGCATGATTGCATTAAATGTGATAGGGGAATCTTGTGGAGAACAATTTGAAGGAAAAGGACCTTTTATATCCTCAAACACTTCCGAATTTAAAAACAAAATGATGCAAGACACATGTAGTACTAGTTCAGCTAAGCTGCTTTTGAAGAAATGAATGATCCTCACTGTTCTCTTGTCTAACAGCTGACTGGTAAATTACAAGCAGCCAAAGAAAAATAATACAGGTAAGGTCCTTTGCATAAGCTGAGCTGTGGAAATCTGTTTTTATAACCAAAGAAGAAGCAGGACTTGTACTTGAACGTCTATTGCCTGCTCTCACCTCAAATAATATTCCCTGAATTAAATATGCAAATTTTAATTTGAGAGACAGTGAAAATCCCATTCCTCTTGTTTAATGCAGAACAATAGGGCATGACCAGGTATTCAAGGGAAAGTGAAGAAGGGTTCTTTTAGATATACCATCTACTCAAAACATTGCTGTTTCTGAGTTTCACTTCATACAGCAATTGCATATGAACGATTTTGTAAACAAGTTGACAAATTAAGTTTCCTGAGACTAAGAAATCCAGACTCCTCCAGAGCAGAAATGTGTTTCTCCCTTAATGCATTCTGAAAGTCTCCAGAGCTATCAGGCATGGTGTTAATAGCTTTATTCACAAGCAAAAATGGGAAAAAAAAAATCCAAGATATCAGTTCCGCTACTGGACAACTTTTGAAAGTATTATTTTCTCTTTTATGAAACATGCTAATGACACAAGGTTAACCCAGTACTGCGGTATTTTCATTCAACAAAAACTGAGGCTAAGTAATTAAAAATAATAATGTTTTCATCTATATATCAACTCTTCCTTTGTAAAGGTGTATTACATTACTTTCAAATTAGGAATTCATTGTATTTGACTTAATTCTAAAATATGACTGCAATTAAGAATTTATCAAAATTTTGGCAAAATTAAATTTGTCTCATCTTTACCAAACAGGAAAAACATCACCGTCACCCAAAGAATGGTAGAACTTAGCTTTTTCTGCCAACCTATTTTGGTCAAGGGAAGTCTCAATGGAAACATATTCATTCCCTTTGTGAACCTACACTTAATGGCAGAAACGACACACTGGCTCAAGTTACCAAGAGTAAGAGTTCAAAAATTCGTCAACGTTTAGGGTTTCTGCTGGGAAACACACATACATTTCTAACTTTAAATCAGAAATTAAAAACAAAGCTCAATATCATGATCTCATGGAAGAAAGCGGGACATAAAGACACATTTATAAACCCCACATATTTAGAAGTTATTACCCAGGAAAAGAGAAACCAGATACACTGATAAAGACAGAATTAATGAGTTTACAAGCAACATACTGAAACCATTTAAACTTTGTGTCAAAAATCTCAGTTTTCAGACTCTGGAAAATAGATTGATAGAACAGACCTCTAATGATCCAAATTCCTGGAAAAATTCTTCTTAGCTGCTGCATCAAGCAATAATAAGCCTCTTGGTTAAGCCAAGTACCGCTACAAAACACTGTTGGAAAGCATTTTCACTAAAAGATAATACACGCAGCTGCTACCAGGAAATGCAATTACCAAGCGAGACTTAACATAAGATTTCAATTTCTGAGATTGCCCCAGATGAGATTCCAAGTTCTGTGGATAGGAAGCTGACATGCTGGCCCAGTACAGCTGAGATTATTCCTGTTGGCTAGACGCACTGTCTCCAGAGCCAAAATGTGCTTGTAGGTGAACTTCAGCAGAATGTCTTGTCAGCCAAAGGTTACACTTCCTATAAGCATTTCTAGTTGGAAGAAGCTTCAATGAGCCAGTCATCGACAAAACAGGAGACCATTTGCAGATTTAAGGAAGTTTATTTTCAAGACACTGTATCTGGCCTTATCAGGAAAGCTGAAGCACTTCCAAAATCATAACTAGTGGTTGGAAAAGTTTCCCCAGAAGCTGCAAATATGAAGGATGCTATTTGAGTCCACCCTACTAAATACAGCGCAGCACATTTCCACCACAAAATGCTTTCTAACAAATGTCAGCGATGTTCAGATGTTGGAAGTATCTTTCCATAAACCAGGTTATTCCTCAATCAATCTGGAATACCTGCCCTCCTAGACAAGAGCAAGAGAAGGTACTCTGGATATTTCTTAGTCTGTTAACAGCAGTTACCCAAACTGCTTTCAGTTCAGTCTGACTGCAAGGGAGAAAATTCCAGACAGGAAGGGGAAGACTAAGAACTGTAGCCTCAGCCTGCAATCTTTGTCTCCTTGATAAATCAAATAAAACTAATATCCAGATTATACAGCCACTGTGGACATCTAGACATTGAACACAGGCTTCCCATTAAAAGAACTTCACTGGGACATGTTCCTGTTCTGTGGATAAACCTGGGGCAGCTAGAGTCCGACATAATAAATTGATGCCCTCTGAAATCTACCACTTCTGTAAGAAAATTCAGCAGTTTGATAACATTAAAAATAAAAAACAAACCAAACACACCAATGCAAAAGTCTCTCATATGAGCTCAGTAACACAAAGAGAAACAAGGTCAAAACACAGATGCTTATTTCATTGCACTGACTGTTGGAGAACTTATAGGGTGGGTAAGAACATTATGTCTGCATTAAGACCTTCCTTAAAGTTTTAGGCACCATGCTAGATTAAAAATGTATTTTAAGTTTTCTACACTTGCATTTTGATTCAAGACATAGAGGTAAGGCACTTCATCTATCCCTTCTGTAACATTATACACAACACATACAGCCTCTCTTCTGCTGTCTTGGGCACGGCATTTCTAAAATACTCCTTTTTGATAACTACATTACACAGAGAGAAGTAAAAGTATTTTTCTTTTCTGTTAAAGCACTGTTCAATACAGGACAAAGGATGTTAAAAGACAAAAGCCATCCTTCTGCCTATTGTAACAAAGTCAATCACAAGGCATTTCACAAAAAGGAAGGTTTGACAGGAGAAAACTGCACACACAAAAAAAGTTGGTATTGTGTTCCCAGGGTGCTAGATTTGTCTGAAATTAGATGAAATAAAATTCTCCTTGAAAGAAGTTGATGTAATATGCACACTGCTTGCTTACTGGTGTGTGTGTGCACGCACACAAGAAGGTGGATTTCATCAATAAGTCAATCTGCCTGCACGCTCACTCCCAAACACGCAGCAATATCTCCAAGCACTCCTATGAGAGCACTTAAGACATGAGCTAAGGCTTTCTGTGTACAGAATGTTTTAAATTAAGTCCCCAAGGTACAGATCAAATAAATACTTTTTCATGCAAACAGTAGTGATATTAAAGACTGAAATTCTATCTCAAAATTGGAAGAAACACTAATTTAAGAGACAGCACAGGAGATGGAGAATCTGTGTTAGCACACCACTTCACTTGTGAAAAAGAGAAAAACACACCTGTAAGACATTACCAGAATCAAAAGGTATCAGTTCTCTCAGGCTGCAGCCCTAAGGCTCGCAGCCTAGGACACAAGGACAGAGATTTCTTGAGTCCTTTCCAGCCCTATTTTCTTACTTTGATTTGGGTAAAAACTCATTACTATGGCAGCACGTCAGCATTTAGAGAAGCAGCAAAGCAGTGAAAAACATTTACAAGCATTCACCAGACCTTTCATAACCCTGATACCAGATCTAACCCAAGCCTTGAACAGCACTGAGCTTTAAATGGGACACAAGCTAGCAAGGAAGTGAAGAAATGCTCCAAACCTCTGGTTCCCCTAACCCCAGCAATTATAGTCTTACCGTGTATCAGCCAACCTGCATTAAAGTGGCTATAGTAAACATCACATGGTGCAAACCAGAACCCCAGCTCACTTTTCCAGTCCTGCTCTTACCATCTGTTTTGAGGGAAGATGGGATAAAGCCAGCACGTCCCACACCCAGGGCAAGTAGAAGTGTAGATCAGAGGCAGAAAAGCATTTTAGGCCTCCATGTTTAGCTTGCATGCGGGAGTGAGGTGGAGATAGGAGATGATATGAGATGGGGTTGATGGCAGAAACAGAGCAGAGTACTCCATGAA